TGTTTATTTTTTTTTCTTTATTGATTAAGGTATTACATATGTTTCCTTATCCCTTTATTGCCCCTTCAAATCCCCCCTCCCCACTCATACTCTACCCTCTGGTGTCTGTTTCCATTGATTATGCTTATATGCATGTATACAAGTCCTGTGGTTGGTCTCTCCCCTTTTACCCTCACCATCCCCTACCTACCCTCTGAGGTTTGATGGTCTGATTGATGCTTCTCTGTCTCTGTTTTTGTTCATCAGTTTATGTTGTTTATTATATTCCACAAATGAATGATATCATATGATATTTATCTTTCTCTGACTGGCTTATTTCACTTAGCATAATGCTCTCCATTTCCATCCATGCTGTTGCAAATGGTAAGAATTTCTTCTTTTTACAGCAGTGTAGTATTCCATTGTGTAGATGTACCACAGTTTTTTAATCCATTCATCTGCTAATGGGCACTTAGGCTGTTTCCAAATCTTAGCTATGGTAAATTGTGCTGCTATGAACATATAAGTTCATATATCTTTTCTGATTGGTGTTTCTGATTTCTTGGGTTATATTCCTAGAAGTGGTTTTACTGGGTCCAATGGCAGTTCCTTTTTTTGTTCTTTTGAGGAAATGCCATACTGTTTTCCACATTGGCTGTACCAGTCTGCATTTCTGCCAACAGTGTACAAGGGTACCTTTTTCTCCACACCCTCACCAGCACTTGTTGTTTATTGATTTGTTGACGATAGCCATCTTAACAGGTGTGAGATGGTATCTCATTGTTTTGATTGCATCTCTCAGAAGAGCATGTTTTCATGTATTGCTGCCTTCTGTATTTCCTCTTTGGAAAAGTGTCTATTTAGGTCATTTGCCTTTTTTTTAAATTGGGTTGTTTATCTTCCTTTTGTTAAGTTGTATGAGTACCCTGTGAATTTTGGAGATTAAACCCTTATCAGAGATAAAATAGGCAAATATGTTCCCACATGCACTGGGGTTTCTTTTTGTTTTGTTGATTGTTTCTTTTGCTCTGCAGAAGCTTTTAAGGTTTTTTTTAATTACTTTATTGATTAATGTGTTACATATGTGTCCTTCTTCCCCCATTACCCCCCAATCCCCCTAACTCATGCCTTCACCCTCCTGTTGTCTGTGTCCACTGGTTAGGCTTACCGTATTTTTCGGACCATAAGACGCTCAGGACCATAAGACGCACCAGTTTTTAGAGAAGGGAAATGAACAAAAAAAGATTCTAAAACAAATAGTGTCCTAAAATATTTATGTGCATTAAAACCCAACATCATAGTCATAAACACATGTAATCAACCCTGTAAAGTAAACAGCAGCATTTAGAACCATTTTAGAGCCGGGCAAGCACACAGAGACCACATAGAGCCGGGCAAGTAAAAAAACTTTTTTTTTAAAGTATATGTGTAGGCTATATTTGGACCATAAGACGCAGGGACTTTTCCCCCCCACTTCTGGGGGGAAAAAAGTGTGTCTTATGGTCCAAAAAATACGGTATATGCATGCATACAAGTCCTTAGGTTGATCTCTCCCCCTTACTCCCACCCTCCCCTACCTTCCCTCTGAGGTTTGATGGTCTGATCAATGTTTTTCTGTCTCTGGATCTAATTTTGTTGTAGTCCCATTTCTTTATTTTCTCCTTAGCCTCCATTGCACTAGAAACTTTATCAGCGAAGATGCTCTGACATATGTCTGATATTTTGCTGCCTATGGAGTCTTCTAATATTTTTATGGTTTCCCATTTTACATTTAGCCATTCTGAGGTTTTTTTTTGTGTATTGTGTGTTGGGATGTAATTTCTCTTTTTGTATTTATTTGACCAAATTTCCCAGCACCATTGATTGAAGAAACTCTCATGACTCCATTGTATGTTCTTGTACTTTTCCAAATAATAATGGAGCATAATGGCTTGGATGGATTTCTGGGTTCTCTGTTCTGTTTCATTGGTCTATATGTGTTTGCTTGTGCCAGTATCAGGCAGTTTTATGAACCATGGCTTGGTCCCTTCCCACCAGGAACAGGTAATCCAATTCCAACCAGCAGCTGTGTTTAAACAATGTGTCCATTTACACTTGAATGGCTACACCTTTTGATAGCCTAAGGGCAAGTTTACATGTAAACAAGTTTGCTCTCAGTTCCCAGGGCAGGAAAAAAAAACAAACCAAGGTTTAAAATTATTAGATTTTAAAATTTATTCTTAGAAGTGTAAAAGTTTATTAATTAAAAAAAATATTGAAAAACCTGATGAACAATAATAGCGGTTCATTGTAATAGAGTTGGCGATATGGGAAGGGAGTGGACTGACTGTTCTGGGGGGGGGGGCGGGGTTGGGGGTGAAAGGGAGGGAGGAAGAGACTGAACATAAACTGTGCACCTATGGATGAGGACAATGGGGAGTGGGGAGGGGGCGGAGGGTGGGGTGGGAACCTGGTGGAAGGGGGAAGAAATGAGGAACTTTTGTAATAATATGAACAATAAAGATTGATTTAAAAAAAAAAAAGAACCATGGCTTGGTAATATAGCTTGATATCTGGTATTGCAATCCCTCTAACTTATTTCTTCTTTCTTGAAATATGGTGGAAATCATACTTGGGTAAAAACTGCTGTTTGAATTTTAACCTTGCTGACTTTGAGGGTAGTTACAGGAGATTGACTCCCACTGACTCAGTAGCTTTAGGGGTATAAACTATAGATAACCTTTAGTTCTGCTTTTGTATTATGGGCAAGATAGGGCCACATTCCAATGTCAAGCAGGGTGAGACTGGGAACGGACCTTGCGGACTGTCCCCAGTCTTTAGAATTTAGTCCTGAGGGGCCAATCAGGGTTAGCTGAGGCAGTGACATCACCGACCTGAGTAAAACCCCTGGACTGGGCGAAATTTGCTCTCTTCCGCCATGCTGCCGGCATGAGTGAAGATAGCCCATGCTAGCATGGAGATGGCTCTTTTGTTTATTGCATCGGACTCGGCTCCCTGGTGGTCCTTGGGGATCATGACTGGAATCCCCAGCCAGGACCATGAGGGACCCCCATTCCGAAGAGCCTGACTAGCCGTGGTAGGTGTGTGTTTGTCTGTGTTTTTGTGTGAGCGCTCTGGAGGGACTGCCCCTCCATCAGGGCTCTTACCTGGGTGTTTACTGGCTGCTGCGTCAGCCATGGTTTGAGTCCAGATTCGAATCTGTAATAAATTCTAGCATGCTTAATCAAATTGGCTCCGGTGGTCCATCTCTTGGGGACTCGCTTCGTAACATTTCTCAGGATTGCTGTGTCTATTCAGGGTCTTTTCATTTAATTTTATTCCAGATGAATTATTGGAGAGTTTGTTTTAGTTTTTTCAAATATGTTATTGGTATTTTAATGGGGATTGCATTGAGTCTGTACATTGCTTTTGGGTAGTATGTACATTTTAATGATGCTGATTCTTCAAATCCATAAACATGGTATATTCTTCCATTCATTCATGTCTTCTATCTCTTTTTTCAATGTCCTGTAGTTCTCTTATGTCATTAGTTAAGTTTACTCCTAGGTATCTTAGTTATTTTGGTGTGATGGTAAATAGGATTTTTTTTTTTTTTAGTTTCTTTTTCTGTGAGTTCATTATTAGTGTATTGCTGTAAGCCACCCATTACCTTCACTAGCACAGAAATGCAGACTAGGAATCCAGTAGGCTGGTTAACCTTTCAGAGCCAAAATCCACTGTCTAGTTGAGACAAAGAGAGCTGAAGGAACTTCCATCTTTTAGTCTTATGTAAATTCTCTCTGATTGGCTATTATTGGAATTGCCTGCCTAAGGGCTATGGGTGTATCCCACAATCTGAATACAAGGGATAGCAAGGCTGAGCAGGGTGGAGTCCTTCCCCTTGAGTTGGGCTCCTGCCTGGCCCCCAATATTTCCAAATTAATATATTTTTTTTCTTCACCAAACATTTTATTCCCTGAGGACCCACTCCCCAATCTGCTCTGCTGCCTGAGGTGCCCGCCCCCAACCAACACCTGTGAGGCCCAAGACCCAGACATTTGTCAAGGCCAGCAGGATTGGGGTTCACAAGTTCGCTTAGACCTCCCTAATCAGAAAGACACTCTGGGTTGGGGGGCCAGTCCTGCGTCCCAAGAGCTCAGGGCCACTCCAGGATCTGAACCTCCTCCTTCTCAGGGCACTGGGGTGAGTGTCTGTGTGGCCTTGGGTCCAGGGAAGACCCCTCTGGTCCCAGTACTATTTCCGGAGTTCTTGGGGATCCCAGGTGTGGGGCCTGGGGCCTGCCAGGTACCCCAGACCGAGTTTTCCTAGCCGGAGACAGACAGCAGCCTTTCTCCTCTGGCCAGTATTTCTGCCACCAGAGCACTTAATTCCACAGGCAGGGAGGGGGCAGTCCCATTCGTGGCCGCTCTGACCCCTCCCACCATCTGAGGGTCCAAGCTGGAAAATGCTTCTCCCTTCAGCTGCACATGACCTTGGAAATCAATTCCCAATTGGCAGTGAACCATGGCCCAACTCACCCACTATTAACCACTGCGGACTCACTACCAAGGAGAGGCTGGCACTCTTTAGGGGCCGGCCCATGACCAAGATTGGGGCTGGGATGTGGGATTTTGACTCAAACGGGCTGGAAGCAGCAGCAGCAGCAGCAGCAGCAGCAGCAGCAGCAGCTGGGACCCTGGCCAACGTGCCTCTGCCACTAGCTGCCATGGAAAGAGACAGTCCCTCCAGTGAGAGTCTAGGAAGGACGATGAAGCTGGTCTAAGCAGTCCTGGGCGAGTTTTGAAGGATGTGTAGGAATTTGCCACAAACTTCTTCACCTATCAGCCCTGGCCAGGGTGGCTTAGTGAGTTGAGCACTGTCCCATGTTCAGTTTGATTCCTGGTCAGGGCACACGCTGGGTTTCGGGCTCAATCCCCAGTGGGGGCACACAGGAGCCAGCTAATCAATGTTTTTTTCTCTCTCTCTCCCTCTCCTTTTCTCTGTTTCTCCCCCAAATAAATAAAAATGTATAGATATATATAAAAAAAGCAAACAAACAAAACTATTCACTGGTCAAACCCTCGCTGGCACTTCCCTATAGCCTGGGAGGACAAAGGTCTGTCTCTTCCTGGGAAGAAAATGGGACCCCCTCTTGGGGGTTGGGGATGGGAGCCCGGGGGCTGGGCCCTGACATCTCAGTAGACCTGCGTGCGCTGGCCGCAGGTGAGGCTGGACTGGCTCAGCGCGTCCCACATGAGCCGCATCTCGTAGGGCAGGAAGCGGTGCACCAGCAGCAGCTCCTGGTAGAAGCAGGGGTCGAAGGAGGACAGGCGCTTGGAGGGCGCCCAGATGCTGGCCCTGCGGATGCCGCTATGGGAGGCGGGCTGGAGGCCCACGTGCTGCAGGCACATGCCCAGGAAGACGTCGTCCATGGAGAAGAGGTCCAGGGAGCGGACAGCGCGGCATAGGGCGGGGGCCATGAAGCGGGACAGCAGGAAGCCGCCCCCGCCGCAGTAGGGCGGGTAGCGCTCCTCCTGCGTCACCACCTTGGGCAAGTAATACTTGCTCCAGGAGACCCGGATGGGCCCAACGTTCCAGATCAGTTGCCCCGCAAAGAGGTGGCGGTCGGGGTCGTGGCCCTGCAGGTAGGAGACCATGTTGTCCGTGTGTGTGAAGATGTCGTTGTCCCCGTTAAGGAGGAAGCTGGCGTTGGTGCACCGGGTCTCCTGCCACTGGAGGAAGAGCACCTGCTTGAGCATGAGGTTGAAGAAGGAGACGGGGAAGTCCCACTGCAGGATGTCGCCGTGGATCCGGGCCTCCATGGCCAGCAGCTGGTTGACCTTGCGGGCCTCCCTGGGCTCAGCGGCGGTGCCCACCAGGAAGAGGCGGCGCAGCGGGGCGCCCCGCACCTTGCGCTCGCGGCGCTCGTAGTTGCTGGGCGGGCGAGGACTTGATTTCCAGCAGCAGGAAGGCATGGCGGTGCCGGTGCAGCAGGAAGTCCCGGATGGGCAGCTTGGCCATCTAGGCGGTGGCCCTGCAGGGCGGGGGCGGGGGCCGGAGCGGGGAGGGCGGAGGGCGCCAGGTCCCGGGCCCAGGGGTGCCCGGCGGCCCTGCCAGGCTCCCGCAGGGGCTGGGCGGCGCTGTGTGCAGACTGAGGAGGAGGAAGAGGAGTGAGAAGGTGCAGAGGACCATGGCCAGGACCGTCTCTGTCCGCAAGGACAGGAAACACCTCCTCATGGTCTCCAGGTTTGGGGTCGGTCCAGGGGGACCCACAGGGTGGCTCCTGGGGAAGAATACCATTCACAGAAGGTCCTGGATGGGCCAAGCGCCTTTCTTTCCTGAGTCACCTGCGGGCCCCAGCACCCCCAGACTGGGGCCAGCGTCCGAGCCCGGTCCTCTGGGCTCTTCCCCCACCCCCACCCCCCCTCCTCTCCGCTGCTGACCCAGAGGAAGAGTTTCACCTGGGCCCAAATTAATAATATTTTCTAGTCTCTTTCATTTGCATGTGGAACCTGAACCCTGAACCACATGGGATATGCTGGGTACACTCGCATATGGCACCTTCTACGTGGGACTTCTGGAGGGGATGATCTTTCACTTAGAGCGAAGAAAGGAAGATTTCACTGAAAAGGTGAGAATGGTTACACTGAAAAGATGGGAAAGAATTCACAGTATAGGTGAGGGAAATTCACTTCACACAAAGCCTATGATCAGCTGCAGAAATTTTGATCTATAATTAGGGTGGGAATGTCTTTTTCAGCCAGGCTAATGGGAAAGAATTAGGTTATAAAGTAAACTAAGGTGACCAGACATCCTGATTTTGGCGGGACAGTCCCGATTTTTAACAATTTGTCTTGTGTCCCATGACGTTTTCAAAAAGTCCCAATTTTTGGAAAGAATGTACAATGACAATCTAGGGAACGGCAGGAGACCAAGAAAGGAATATACGGTTTATGGGGGCCATGTGACTATTTAGCCAGGATATGAGTTTTATATTATTTTTGTTAATTTTATAATGTTAAACTTTAATAATAACAATTAATTGTTGAGAACTGATTATCGAGAACTGCTTATTAAAGTTCGCATTGTTAATCAGTTGTTAGAATTCAACCACCATTGTTTGGACTTAATGAACAATAGCATTTTTTGGGATTGGCAATAGTGAAAACATTTTATAACTGTCTCTCAGACGATACACATCATACTGCATGCTAATAAGCTAGTTAAACAAGTGATGTCATTACAAATCAGCTATTCAGATAATTTAGGTAATTTATTTATTTCATAAATATAAAAATTTTCTTGAATTTAGTAGACAGTACTCATATTATTTATATTTTATAGTGGTGGCAAAAAGTCTAGAGCCAGCCTTGAAAGTGACAGTTACTACTTACGTTACAGCAAATTCAGAGGAAAAATAATACAAGTTAGTATTGTTATTATTTAGAAAGAAATATAGGAGTAACATTTAAATAATTTTTAAAATATAGTTACTTTATAACAATCAAATTAATTTAATTTATAAACTAACAATAAAACTTGTTCATGTAATTATGTACTTACTGTGTTTTTGAGCAACATGTATATAATAATTTATAATATAATTTAAACATTTTTTTTAGATTTTTAACATAATGAGTAAGAAAAGAGGATGCAACTTCAACGATGATCTAAGACATGTGTCAAACACAAGGCCCGCGGGCCAAATCCGTCCCGCCAGGCCTTGCAATGTGGCCCGCACCGCGCTGTCATCACTGCACTCCGCTGCGTTTCCATCACAATGACAGTTTATGACTGTTCAGTAAACCATTCGGCCCGCGATTTAGGCTGGATTTTAGATTTTGGCCCCTTCTCTGATTGAGTTCGACACCCCTAATCTAAGAAGTGAATTTCCTTTTATTAAAAAAACCAAAAGTGATTACATGGTAAAATGTGAGAAATGTAATGGTGAATTTTCTATTTTGCACAGCTGGAAGAATGATATTTTTAAAGTACTTGGAGACACAGAAATGTAAAAGATATTTAAATACTGCTGCATCTTCCTCCAAAATACAGGAATTTTTTTGGAAAACAAATTATGGGAACAAAAAAAAAAGAAATTAGCATTAGCAGGAGGACTAATGTCTTTTCATGCTATTAACATATAGACCACATTTTTAATCAAGCCCCTTTTCCCCCCCACCCAGGTCAATGGTGTCCCACTTTACCAATGTTAAAATCTGGTCACCTTAAAGTAAACTTTAGGTTTGCATGCTTAAGGAATGTGGTTTCTTGTTTAAATTAAAATCTTAATTTGTATTTGGAATCTAAAATCTGTAATAAGAAATGAAACCCTGCTGCTGAAACTGCCTCTGGTGGAAATTCAAAGGTGTAGCAGGAGAAGGCAGGGCTATCCACTCTCTAATAATGAGATTACTTATTTTGTTTAAAAATTATAGAAGAACTTGCAGGGAAATGTAAAATTTGGCCAAATTGGGTGCTAATAATTATCTTGGAAAGCGAAAAAGAAAGAAAAAATTTAAGATCTGTCTTTATCTATTAAGCACAAAAAGTTACACAGCCAGATCTCTTATTGAAAATTTCCCCCAAAGCAAGCAGGATGTGGGGAAAGGGAGACATGTGGCAATCCAATATGGAAGGCCTCTTTCCCAGTATGCTAATTTAAAATCTCCTTTCTGGCCATGAAAAAGTTTTCTTGCCTTAAAAATTTTGAAATGTGTCTGGAATATCTGTGAATTTTAAAGGGAAGAGCTAATTTAAGACAAAATGTGTGCAAGATCCAATTTCAGATATTAGATAGGTTTTGAACTGGACTTGACTCTTTACAAGGACTACAGAAATGAAAAACCCAAGACTGTTTTTTTCTTAAGAAAAATGGCAGATTTGACCAAAAGGAAAGAAATTCAAGCTATTTACAGCAACAGGATTTGCATTTTTATAATAAAGAGTAGTTTTAAAAATGCTAATGAGAGGTGTTAAAAGGCTAACTTTTAAGACCTTCAAGAAAATCAGTGAATTGTGTTACAAAAGAATTTATCCAAAGTAAATGCCTTAAAGTAATTGGAATTGCATTTGAAACTCAAAAATTGTTTAAAAAAATCCTATCTAATAAAAGAGTAATATGCAAATTGACCATGCCTTCACTACATCCCAAATCCATGCCCACCAGCCAATCAAGAATAAATATGCAAATAAATCCAACCAAGATGGCTGCACGGAGGGAGGCTTGGGTTTCCCTGGCAATGAAAGAAGCCAAGCTTTCTGCCTTCCCTTGCTGACCTTGGCTGGGGGCAGAGCCTGGTGATCACAGCCTGCTGGGGGTCCCCTGCCCAGAGCCGGAGGCTTTAGGCCTTGGCAGGTGTGGACGCGGAGATTGGAGTAGATAGGTGTGAACTACAGAGGAAACACCTTTTCTGTCTGCTCATTGGCTAAGCTCCCTGTATGCCACTGGTAATATTTTTAGTAACTTGGGTATAAGAAGCCAAAAAGGTGATCTAGAGTTTTTCAACCACACTCCTGGAGAAAAAAAGGAAAGTGTGCTGCTATAGGGCTAAGAAATGTCATATCCTGCCCTAGGCAGTTTGGCTCAGTGGGGAAAAAAAATAACAATGCTTAGGTTTGCCAACCACAACATCTGGGTTAGATTCTGATCAAGAGCATGTACCTAGGTTGCAGGGTCATCCCTGGGTGGGGCCCAGGTCAGGGCTCATGCAGGAGGCAACCAATCAAAGTGTTCCTCTCACTTTGATGTTTTTCTCTGTCTTTCCCTTTCTCTTCCCACATTCTTTAAAAATCAATGTCGGGAGCTGAAAAAGAATTAATACTACATCTTAAAAGATACCTCCATCTTAGACACTGGGTTTCTGACTTACCAGAACTCATGTGGCAGTTAACTAGAAACAATCTAAATGCCTAGCAGCATATCTGGCCATTGAGCAAGGCACACCTGTTGTGATAACTCTCCCTGCCCCGGAGAATCTCTGCTGTATCCTCCCTTGCAGATACATCCTGCTGATACACAACCCTCCCCGCCCTGGAATGTCTCCGCGGCAACTTCCCCCTACAACCTGTGTACATATATTTCGGCTGCAACAAATAAAATTTGAGGCTTGATAAGAACCCTGTCTTGCCTCCATTTCTCTGCGTCTCCTGTCCTCCCTCATTCCCTTCCAGGTGTCTCCTCGCTCCCACATGGCTGTCCTGCTGGCCAGGGCAAATCAATGGAAATATCCTCAAGTGAGGATAGAAAGAAAGAAAGGAAGAAAGAAGGAAGGAAAAAGGAAGGAAGGAAGGAAGGAAGGAAGGAAGGAAGGAAGGAAGGAAGGAAGGAAGGAAGGAAGGAAGGAATGTTCTATGAAAAACACATCTTGAAAATGCCTAAAGAAAGTAGTCATTTTTTTCTTGATAAAGGAACCAGAGTCCGTTTTGATGAAAACACCTTGGTGGCTGTGGTGACTGGCAGTGGCTGCAGCAGCAGGGTGATGGGGTTGGTGCCTTTCTCTGATCAGCCCAGTCCTCTCCCACAAAGGGAGGCCAGACTAAAGTTTGGCCCACTCCCCATGGTCATCCCTGAGGGCTCCCAGTATGTGAGAGGGGGCAGGCTGGGCTGAGGTGACCCCCCTCCTATAGTATATTATAGAGATCAAGTAGCCCAGATAAAGACTGGCTATACCCTTTATTAATGGAGGAAGGGATGGTCAACCTTTCCCAAGAGACAGGTAAATCAGTTTCCTGTGAGTAGCCATTCTTTAAGGACAGTTTTGCATTTGAATACCTGTAGGCTTGCCACTCAGTTTCCTCAGGCAGAAAAATTATGGTCATTTTCAAAAGTCAAGGGGGTAGGTAGGCTGGGCCTGTTAGTAAAATGATAAAAATTAGTTCAATGATCTTAATTTGCTTCCATATGAAAAAACCTAGAGGACAGAATTGAATCTATATTGATTGATTATGTCTTGCATTTTTTAAATATATTTTTAAAAACATGTGTTATTAATCTAAAGAACTGCTAAATATTTGACTTGCCAGCTTTAAAAGTTTAAAGTTTAAATTAAATTGGAAGAAATTGTAGTTGTGGTAATTAAATGCCTGAAGTATAGAAATTTAAATTGTGGTTTCTCTAATAATCAGAAATTCAAAATATGTTGCTTATTGGTTTAATTAAATAAGAAGTATTAATTCTGTGATTCCAAACTAAATTTTGAATATAAAGACCAGTTTAAAATGTAATTGATATCTTGCCAAAACTGGTTTGGCTCAGTGGATAGAGTGTCAGTCTGTGGACTGAAAGGTCCCAGGTTCGATTCCAGACTAGGTTGTGAACACATCTCTGGTATGGGGTGTGCAGGAGGCAGCTGGATGATGTTTCTCTGTAATCAATGTTT